CATAAAAAGAAATTTCAGACTGAGGTCAGGTGAGTAAGGGGTGTGGGGCAAGAGAGCCAGGCTATTTTTTGCCCAAAATGGGCGCATCGAGATGGCTGCAAGAACAGATGCATGGTCGCGGGGGAAAACCAGTTCCCTGTCTGCCACAAATCAGGCCTTTTTTATATCACATTATTATGCAATCTCTTCAGAACCTATAAAAAGAACGTTTGATTAACAGTCTGACCTGGTGGAACAAACTCCAAATGCACCACCCCCTCACAGCAACAGAAGAAACGAGCATGGTCTTGGTCTTTGATGTCACTCGACGAGCTGTTTTTGGGTGAGGTGATGATGGCGTCTCCACTGGCTTGACTGAAGTTTGTTTTCGGGGTTGTAAGAACAGCATCATGTCTCGTCACCTTGGAAAAAAGGGGCGCCTTGGGAGTGTTCTCTCAAAGCACAGCATGTTTCTGGTCGACCCTCGTTTTCCTGGTCAGTCAGACCCTGAGGCACACATTTCACAGCGACTCTCCTCATTCCCAAATCTTGCATTAAAATTCACTGAACTGAGCTCCAAGGTCATACAGATAACGTCCCAGTCCTTTCAACGGTCCATCGCCTGTCTTTGAGCACAAGTGCACGACTTTTGTCAACATTTTTGTTCCTTTGGGAAGTTGATGGGCATCCAGAAAGAGGCTTGTCATCAATCAATAATAGTTCACCTTTTTTGAAATGAGAAACCACTCATACACGTGAATTTTCCCCAAAGGGCTGTCCTTGTAAGCTGTGTTTAACACAGCAGTTTCCAGGGCCCTGTTCCTCCTGGAGCCAGAAACAAAATTTCACAGCCACATGTTGTACTCTTAAATTGGCCATCACAAAAAAGGGTGGGGGGGTCCGAGTGAAAATGCTTTTACACTAAACTTCACAGTGACCAGAGACGACACCAACGGGTGCACGAACTCAGAGCGAGTGCTGGATGCTCACCTAGTAGGAAAAATGTGCAGTAAGAAAACACTACCCTGCAGAGCTGTTTTCCAATTTTACCCCCTTTTTTGGGTACTACCTTGTATATATCAGTACACACATATATGCACATATATGTGGAGAAAGCTGTGAGAGATCTAGATTATATACCTTATACATCAGCAGACATATCTCTGTATAAAGCTTGAGAAATAAACGACACTTGGAATACCCCAATTGAGAAAGATAAAGTTCTTAGGAGGAGGTCCATTGCCCAGCCACGCACAGTTCCAGGCAGAGAATCTGGGCCAAGTAAATGCCTCTGGAGCTTAAAAGTTCTCAACTTGGCTGTCTGTAGAAGCACTAAGAAGCTTTACAAATCCTGGTACCCAGGCAGGATCCCAACCCTCTAAGTCAAACTCTCTTGGGTAGGGCTATGAGCAGTAGGCTTTTCTAAAGCCCTCCAGGTGAGTCCAAGGACCAGACAAGGTTGTGAGCAACTGACCTAGGCAGTGGAGGTGATGGAGGACTCAGGTGTCACTAACACTGCTTGAGGGAGAGGACCATGTGCAGGAAAAGGAGGCAGGGCCACTCAAAGAGTTGAATTTGGATGGGAGTGGGCAGCTCCTCAAGCTAAGGTTCTGCCCCCGTGAGGCTTAGCCCTGATGTCTCATTTGCGTGACCTAGGCAGGTTGATGGAAGTACTGGTCTGAGCCTAAGTCCCTGCACGTATAGCATTTAAGCAGTTGACTGCTAGCTGAAAGATTTGTGGTTTGAACCCACCAGTCTGCTTGTAAAGATCACAGCTTGGAAACCCTGTGCTGGGCTTTCTACTCTCTCCCATAGGGCCACTAGGGGTCAGAATCTGTTCAATGACAGAGTGCTCATGGGCTGAGCCCCATCCCCAAAGATCTGACTTGTGTTAGGCAGGGCATAATGTGAGGATTCTGTGAAAGCCAGGGCTGGGCATGCTCTGGGCCCCATGTCCCGTGCTGTCTGCGTCTCCCTCCACCACACTGAGTTTCCTTCTTCCCTCCAGCCCACAAAGCCACTCTGTGCCAGGCATTGTACTTGCTGTCCTTCTGCTTACACTTCCCAGGGCTGGAGCAAGGGCCAGGCAAGCAAGGTAGAGCTCTTGGACCCAAAATATGTGTCTAAGGAAACATCAATGTATCTAGTAATCAGGATAAAAAATACTTTGATGTGCTCGTTGTAAAAATAAAAACGAAGCTAAACAAAACAACAAAGCCGTGTTGTTGTTGCTCAGTGCCATGGTATTGGCTCTGACCCATAGCCACTTGATATGCACAACAGAACCCTGCGTCAGCCTACACCGTCCTTACAATGTTCCTACGTCTGAGCCCGTTGGTGCAGCCACCGTGTCCATCCATCTCCTGGAGGGCCTTCCTCTGTTTCACTCTTCCTCCACTTTCTCCACCATGATGCCCTTCTCTAGGGACTAGTTTCTCCTGGCAATATGTCCAAAGTATGTAAGAGTTGCCATTCTTGCCTCTAAGGAGCACGCTGACCTTACTTTTTCCAATTTAGATCGATTCTCCTTTTAGCAGTCCATGGTACTTTTAATATTCTTCTCCAGCACCACAATGCAGATACATCGATTCTCTATGGTCTTCCTTGTTCAACGTCGAACTTTCAAATGCATATGATGCAGTGGAGAATTCCATGGTGTGGGTCAGGTGCTCCTTCGTTCTCAAAGTAACATCCTTGCTCATCCATACTCTAAACAGGTCTTGTACACCAGATTTACCTAATGCAACATGTCTTTCCTGATCGTAAACCATGCAGTATACCTTTGTTCTGTTCCCACAACTGCCTCTTGATCCATGTACAAGTTCCGAATGAGCAAACTGAAGTGTTCCACAATTCTCGTTCTTCTCCAGGTGATCCACAGTTTATTATGGCTCCCTCAGTCAAATGCCTTGGCATAGTCAATGAAAACACAAGTAAACATCTTTCTGGTGTTCTCTGCTTTGAGCCAAGATACATCTGACATCAGCAATGGTATCCTTTGATCCACATCCTCTTCTGAATCTGGCCTGAACTTCCAGCAGCTTCCTGTCAGTGCACTGCTGCGAACATAATTAAATGATCTTAGGCAAAATTTTACTTGTGTGTGACATCAGTGATATCGTTCAATAGTGTGAGCCTCCTGTTGGGTTATCTTTCTTTGGAATGGCTTAAATACGGATCTCTCCCAATCATTTGGCCAGGTAGCTGTCTTCCAAATGTCCTTTTTTAGGTGAAGGAGTGCTTCTGGCGCTTATTCAGCTTTCTGAAACAGCTCAGTGGTACTCTGCCACTTCTTGGAGCCGTGCTTTTGGTCCTGCGTTCAGGGTAGTGTGAACGGCTTTCTTCTGCATCACTGGTGTTTGCTCGCATGCTACCTCTTGAAATGGCGGAACAGTGACTCTGGTACAGCGAATCTGGGTATTCTTACTGTCTTCATGTTTCCTGCATCGTGCAATCTTTTGGCTGTAGAAGGACTGGGGCTTCTCACTTTGAGGAAAAAGCCTCTGGAACCCTATGCATAGCTTTGCACCATTTTCCAAGCCATGATTAGCAATATGTTCAATAGCGACAGAGCTTACCTTGAACTTCCAACGCACATCGACCACTGTTGAAGCATGCCTTTCTCAATGGAATATTTTGTTCACCAGGGATTTTTTCCCCCCGTTAAAACAAAACAAAAAATGCACTATCATGAGTACTGAGTTCTGGGTTTATGTTGTTGTTGTTTACACTTTAAAGTGTGTAGCTCAGGGAAAATGCTTCACTTGCCCCCACTTAGTCCTGCCCTAGCTGAGAATGACCTTCACTGTTCCTGCTGTGAGGTGGTGCTGAGTCCGCTACACCTCATCGGGATCTTACGGACAGCCAAACGGAACATTGCCCAGTCCCGTGCCATCCTCACGTATGTTCTCATGTATGACCTCACTGCCGCACCCACTGGATCAATCTCTCTTGCTGAGGGCCCTCCTCTTTGTCACGGTTCCTCTACTTTATGAAGCATAATGCCATTTTCCAGCACCCAGTGTCTCCCAATAACATGGTCCAAGTATGTGAGATGAAGTCTCACCGTCTTTGCCCCTAAGGAGCATTCTGGCTGTACTTCTCCCAAGACAGATCAGTTTGTTCTGATGGCAGTCCCTGGTCCTTTCAACGCTCTTCACTAGAAGTATAATTAGATCACAGTACTTCTTCTCTGGTCTTCCTGATTCACTGTGTAACGTTCCCATGCCTATGAGGTCATTGAAAATCCCATGGCTCGGGTCAGGCTTACTTTAGTCCTCAAAGTAGCATCCTTGCCTTTCAACACTTTAAAGAGGTCTGTGCAGCAGATTGACTCGGAGCAATGCGTCATTGGTTTTCTTGACTGCTGCTTCCATGAGCATGGGTTGTGGAATCCAGCAAGACGAAATCCCTAACAACTTCAATCTTTTCTCCATTTATTGTGCTGATACCTACTGGCACGGTTGGGGGGATTTTGTTTTTACATTAAGTTGTAAACCATCTTAAAGGCTGCAATTCTTGATCTTCATTAGCAAGAGCTTCAAGTCCTACAGTCAGCAAGCAAGACTGTCTCATCTGTTGTTAACAAGGCTTCCTCCGCTCCTGATAACACAGTTTTCTTCATATAATCCACCTTCTCTGATTATTTGCTCAGCAGATAGTTGGAATAAGTATGGTGAGAGGATACAACCATGTCACACACCGTAGCTGATTTTCAAGCATACACTATTCCCTTGTTTTGTTCACACAACTGCCTCTTGATCCATACACAGGTTCTGCATGAGCACAATAAAGTGTTCTGAAAATCCCATTCTTTTGAAGGCTATCCAGAGTTTGTTATGATCCACAGAATCTAATGCCTTGGTATAGTCTATAAAGCACAAGTAAATATTTTTCTGCTATTCTTTGCTTTCAGCCAAATCCATCTGACATCAGCAATGATATCCCTTGTTCTACATCCTCTTCTGACTATGGCAGCTCCCTATCAATGCACTGCTGAAACCACTGTGGAATGGTCTTTAGTAAAATTTTACTGGC